ACACAGAAACCCAGGGTGGACTGATGGAGGGACTGATGGAGGTTTAGTGGCTGACCTATACCATTACTTACCCTTTCCTCACCATCGTTCATCCCTGGACCAACATAGTAATGGAATTTCTCTAAAACTCAACAAGATATCCCAAGCTAACAGGAATCTAACAAAACTGTTGACACAGCAATGCCAAACTAAATGTGTGGCCTTGTCTCAAATAGCTTCAAGCTGGATGAAGGGAAGGCCTGAGCAAGGTCTAAGTACAGCTGTTAGGAGGAGTCCTGGCCAGGAGGCATGACTAGCCATATTCTTATTTTCTGAGGCAAGGTCTTGCTACGTATCTTAGGCTGGCCTAATTTCTTGTCCCTCTGCCTTCAGAGTGCTGGGATGATAGGCATACGCCACCAAGTTCAGTGAGCTGGGCACACCATTTAATAGGACTCACCACGTGCAGACTTAAAAGCATGCAAGAAATCCTCATTAAACCTGCACAGTCCAACAGAGTAGCCACAGCTGGCTAACCCGAAATGTAGCTAGTCTCCATGAAGATGTAAGACACAAGCTCAGTTGGTACAGAGCTTGCCTATGAAGGGCTGGGCTGCATCCCAAGCACCAGGTATATGCTGTACATCTATAATCCCAGCACTTGGGAAGTACAGGCAAGAGAATCAGAAGCTCAGGGTCAAACTCAGCTATGTAGTTTAAGGCTAGCCTGGGCTATATAACACTCTAGACAGACTGATGGAGGAGGATATACACTGAATTCCAAAGAGTCAGATGACAGAAAAAAGTAGGAAACAGGTCACCAATTACTTTGTACTGACTACATATTGAAATAACACTTAGGTACATTGAGATAAATGAACTGTGTAGATAAAATTAAAACAAAACAAAACCTACTGCTGGTGCAACCAGACAGAGCAGCAGGCACAATTATTCCAGTAGGGTTGTTTTTTTTTATATATATATATATAACAATGGTTAATTCAGATAAAAGAAAAATTTTAATAAAATTCATACTTTACAACAAAGAAAAACTAACTCGACAAATTAAAAACAGGCAAACTGCCCAGTTTTTTTCCATGACTTTCAGGAGCTAAGCTCAATTTTGGCTGTATTGCTCAAGATTAATCTACTACAGATGGGAATGTTACAAGACAGAAACGGGAAGAACATAGCTTTTTGCCCAGAGTAAATGAGAATGTAGGCTTCAAATGCAGTGGATCCAAGGGGATTTAAATCACATTCTTAAGTGGTTTTTAGTAGCATTCCCCAATCCCCTATAGAACAAGAGGTACCTTCGTTGAATAAACAAACTGATCAATAAACTTCCCATCTCCTGTTGCATTCTGGAGAGCAAACACTTGTTCAATTTTCACAACTGGAGACATATTACACTTCTGCAAATCTAGGCTCCCTTTGTGCATTGTGATGGAAGCTGGTAAGGACTTCCTCGCAGCTGCTGTTTTCCAGGCTATTTTAACAGGAGGTGGCTCTTCCTCTTCCAAGCTAGTGTGTCGCCTCTGGCTCTGTCTTCGAAGGTCAGTACTTGACTGTGAGGAGGCCACCTCCCCAGCACTGGTCTGCTCTGGCTGACTATTCAGCACAGACCTTGGTCTTCGGGGTTTCTTGACTTCCGTCTTAGAGGTAACATTCTTCTTTGCTTGGGATGAAGCCTCTTCTGGCTGCTTATCGATATAGATGAAAGTATACTGTTCCACTCTTTCCTCCCGGGTCATTTTCAATGCTTTCTCTGCATGAGCAATGCCAATATCCCACTGGGCGCGTTCTCTCTGCGGTCGGGGTTTCCGAATCTTTATGAAAAAGATAAGAGTCTTTGTGTGAAATGTTTAGTCCAATAGGCACATTAAAGTCAACATGTACTTTCCAATCACTCCATAATCTCTTTCAAATACACATAAATATTTTTAGATTCTCCAGACAAATAAATACAATGTGCTGATCCCGTGCCATTTATAAACAGTATTACTTTATTAAATGACACAGAGGTCTGTTCTTTTATTTATATTTCTTTTGTTGACTACTCTGCTGAACAACACCCCAAAGAGGAGCTGTTTCACATCATATCTGTTGAAGAGTAATAATGAAAGAGAAGAAAGATGACAGAAATGACTTGTTTTCAGGGGCCAATAAATGCTAACATTAAACATGCTCCTGCAAAGTCGCTCGCTACTTTCCTCCATGTGTGGGAAAGTAAGCGGGGTACTGTGGAGAGCTCAGCAAAGCTTGCTGCCAAGAGAGGTTTGGAGAGGTGCGGCCAGTTGATGCCAATATGCCAACAAGGACAGAATGGAAAGAGAGGAGAAAACCCAAGGGCACAACAAAACAAAGGAAAGCCAGTGTGCGGGTGTGTGTGTTAGTGTTGTGTGTGAAGGGAAGCCAGTGTGCGGGGTGTGTGTGTGTGTGCGTGTGTGTGAGTGTTGGGTGTGTATGTGGGGGGTAGGGGTTGAAGTGGTGGTGAGCAAACCCTGGATGCCTTTCCACAGATGCTGAGCAGAAGAGTCTGCATTGGCAGGAGGGTAAGAAAACTCTGAATAAAAGTGAAAGAAGCTAAATGACCTCCGCATACACAGTGTGGCAGGTGAGCTATACATGTATAGACAAAATAAATATAATAATAGTGCTGGGCAGAATGGCACACATCTTTAATGCCAAGACTCAGGAGACAGAGAAAGGTACATCTGTAGGAGTTCAAGGCCAGCCTGGTCTACAAAGTAAGCTCCAGGCCAGGCAGGGTTATACAGTGGGACCCTATCTCAAAAAAATAAAAATCATAATGATAATCATTTTTTTAAAGAGGCAGACAAGAGATGGCATAGTATATGCTAAATGCTGATGACTAAGTCTTTAAATAAAGTCTGATAAAATTAACTAAAATCTCCTGTGTCCCCATACAGATGGAGAGATGGCCCCGCATTAAGAGTATGTAATGCAGGCAGGTGTGGTGGCAAACACCTTTAGTCCCAGCACTTAGGATGCAGAGGCAGGCAGAGTTCTATGAGTTTGAGACTAACCTGGTAGTTTCAGGATATAGTGAGTTACAGGAGAGCCAAGGGAGACCAGAACCCCATCCCCCAAAAAAGCATTCTGCTCTTCCAGAAGACCAGTGTTTGAGTCTCAGTATTTAGAACAGGCAACTCATAGCTGCCTGTCACTCCAGCTCCAAAGAATCTGATACTTCTGGGATCTGTTTTGTGTTTTTATTAAAACAAACAAATAAATAAGTAGATGACGATGATAATTTCTATTCTTTTTTTTTTCATCCTGTGATAAAACTTAGTTGGTGGTTTTTGGTGGTGGCTAAAACTTGTTATGCAGACCAGGCTGAACTTGAATTCACCCAGACTTGCCTGCTTCTGCCTCCTATATGCAGGGATTAAAGCACAGGACATTCCTAGCCAATATGTAGCAAGTATAAAAAATTATAAACTTCTGAATTATAAGAGACCTACATTCATTGTATAATACACTTGAAAAAAATTACCTTTATGAAACCTAGAACTGGGTATGTATAATGAATATGCCAATAACATAAAATAAATAAAATATAACCAAATTAAAACAATAAATAAAAAAATCAACAAGGTGTGTGTATATGTGTGTGTATGCATGTGTGTGTGTGTGTGTGTGTGTGTGTGTGTGTGCGCGTGCATGTGTGTGTTTTGAGAAACACTTCCTAGTTCTGTAACTCATATGCTCTGATGAACCAGCAGCTTAAGCCTAAGTTTCTTGATCTGTAGAAAAGAAAAATAGATTATTTAAATTATTATAAAGATTAAATAAGTATAATAATACTTTGAACAATACTTGCTTCACAGAAGGTACTAGATAAACTTTTTTCATGGTTTTGTTTTTTGAGATAGTCTCACTGTGTAGCCTACGTTGACTTTAAACTTTGGACCCTCCTAAGTTAGTCTCCCAAACGTTGGCATTGTAAATAACACACATCTGGCTCTTATCAAGTATTTTTAAATCTTTGATAAAAATAAGTTTATTAATAGAATAAAGAAGACTTACAGGAAGATATTAATAATAATAGTTAATTAATAGTAATAATTAGAAAAATATTTGTAACCCTTAGCAAAATAAATGTCATTAATATCTACTGGACTTGTGCACATCAATTCACAAGAGATTATATAACTGGTCTTTGCTTTTTGAGATAGAATCCCATGTATCCCAGGATAGTCCTAAACTCTATGTAGCAGCAACTGATGCTCTGACCCTCCTTCCTCTGCTGGATATGCAGGCGCGCCCAGTTTTAGTGGAAGCAACAACCTAACGCAGGGTGTTGTGCATGCCGGCCAGCCCTCGGCCACATAAGCCACAGCCTTGGTTCTTCCCACAGTCCAGCAGTACTATGATGTTACAGGACATATACAACCATTTGTTTATTATGTTTTTTTGAGACAGGGCCTTACTATGTAGCTCTGAATGGCTTGGAACTTGCTACACACACCAGATTGGCCTCAAACTTTAAAGTGATACTTGTGCTTTACTAATGTGCACTTGGCTTATGGGCACATGCCACTAGGACCAGCTATAAAATGTATCAGTGGACAGTGGGGTATAATTTAGCAGCAGATTGCTTGTCTGCCATGAGAAAAGCCCTGGGTTCCACCTCCAATGTAACAAACAAAACACACCATCAAGATCAGCAGCTGCAGTTACCTTTTGCTTTTCGGAATGATTGCTGGCTTGTTTAGCTGCCTCGGCTAGTAGCTCTTCATACTGTTCGTGACCTTTATACTCGCGTACCCGCTTCTCATGAACCCATGCCCTCTCTGGCTGGTTGCTAAAAAACTGGACATGATATTCCCGGGCACCTGTAAGTAAAAACTCATATTAATTATGTTAGGACATAAAACTCCATATATATTTTGACAACGAGACCTTGAAATACAGTTTTTTTTTCAGCATTTTTCCATAAAACTTGGACATTTTAAATTGCCCAAAGATATATGACACACTCACCAACCTTCTAACCATAAAACTATAAAATCATTCCAGGTGATTAAATTCAGGGAGCAAGTTTTAAGAGAGAGATGTGAAGCTCCGCTAATTGCCCCATTTATTACTTTGACTATGTAACTTACTTTTTATTTGTATCCAATATTTTTACAAATTGGAATACAAGAACAAAACATTTCCCACTGAAACTGAACGTGTTTCTTTGGACTTTTAAGAGCCAAATACTAATCAGATCTTTTTTAAAATCTATATAAACATAAGATTGTTTAAGGGTCCTGTGCCTCCTAAAGTAATGTCCTGATAATACCACAGTGATTTCTCTTTACATTTAAGGCAGAAAAGCAGTAGCAGATAAAACTACTGGCGTCTCAACACAAACACTGCACAGAACCACATCCAGCCATAGGGTGCTTCTCTGCCATATACTGACACTTTTTCAAAAGGATAGTTTTATGCAATGGCCTTGACAAATCAGCACAATTACTGATTTTTCCTAAACTTCCTCCTCGAATCTGTCTCTTCAATATGCCATACAGTGAGAAAGCAAAGGAAATGCATGTGACTCTTCTGCAGACTGACAGTGAAGGCTGCCTGAGGGAGCCCAAGTATGGTCATCTGGGAGCATGGTGGAACATCACAGTCATTAGACAGCGTGCCTTTCTGCAGTTATTCATATGTGAGAAGGTGTAGGTATCTCTCAAGAACAAACTCCTACTTCAAGGAAAACAACATTATTTGTTATCAATGATACAGTTTAATCTTTCAAGAATTCTGGAAATTTCTGTCTTTGCTTCTTTGAGTCTTCCTACTCTTCAATAATCAAAATCATTCTGAGAAGTGGTGCTTTAAAAGAACACCTAGCCAGGCGTGGTGGCACACGCTTTCAGTCTGGGCACTAGGAAAGCAGACGTAAGCAGATCTCTTACTTCAAGAGCAGCCTGGTCTAAGTAGAGAGTTCTAAGACAGCCAAGGCTACACAGAAAGACTTGGGGGGGGGGGCGGGGGAGGGGAAGGAAGGGAAAGGAGAGAGAATATGAAAGATCTTACTAAGACAAGAATTTTTTAAATGGCAGTGCATGAACACAAAATCACGGACGGTAGAAGATCCGTCAAAGTAAAACATAGTGCTTTGAACTAAACAAAACAACTAGCAGAGCTTGTTTTGTCTTGTTTTCTTTTGAGACAGGGTCTCACTGTATACTCCTGGCAGGCTCGGAACTCACTGTGGACCAGCCTGGACTCAAATGGAGAAGAGATCTGACTGTCTCAGCTTCCCAAGTACTGGGATTAAATGTGTGTTGTTGGCACTATGCCTAGTTGGACTAGAGATTTTAATGTAACAAAGTATAAATGTTCACTGAAATGATTCAAAGTCCATCTGCAATTTACCTTCTACTCACCGAGCTTTGGTGTAGCAAAGAAAACTATCCTCAGTGATCTGAATAGACTGTTAAATCATTCTTCCCTTTTCTTATTCTACATATGTGTGAATCAGCATTATGTTCAGTTTGCAACCAAAATAACAAACCATAACAAACTGAATGTAGAAAGGATATGAAAATCAAGCCAGACATTAAAAATCAGGAAATATTTAAAAACAATATCATTCCTCCATTAACTCTCAAAAGAAAATCATATTACATTGTGAAACAACTTTTAGGAGTTAGGACTCATCCCACCATGTGGGTTCTGTGTATTGAACACAGGTTTTCAGGCTCACCAGCCCCTCATTAACTACTGTTGTTACAATTTTATTTCATTTTTAAGTATGCACACTTGTGTATGGTGAGAGTGAAGGTCCCCTCGGAGGTCAGAGGAGACAAATCCTCCTGGAGCTGGAGTTGAACAGTAGTGAGTGCTGGCAACTCAAGGCCTCCTAAAGAATAGGAAGTACTCTTAACGGCTGAGCTAGAGCTCCAGCATCCAAGAACTTTTTTAAGAAAATAGTTTTCAAACAAACAAACATAATTAATGATTACATGAAGTAATTTGTAAGTGACAAAAAGTTAATTTCTAAATTAAATAGTACCAGATATAACCTACAAAAACTATTAAAGCTCTTCCTTTCAGATGGCAGGGGCTGACTTCAAATGTAATGTCTCATCTTATCCTACTGAGTACTTCTGAAACCATGGTCAACAGAACAAGCTAGATTATTATAAATTAAGCAGAGGGAGGCTGGAAGTGGCTCAGAGATCAGGAGCTCTTCTTACTCTCTCAGAGTAGACTCCTGGCACCCAGGAAGGGAGTCAGTCACCTGTAACTCCAGCTCCAGGGGATCCGATGCCCTCTGCCAGGACTCACATGTATACACACATATACACAACGAAAGTGAAAAATAAGTCTTCCTAAAATAAACCACATAAGCTCAAAGTGAGGATTTAAAACATGTATAACACCTCGACACTGTTAGGACATCTAGACAGACAGTGGGTTTGCACTTCACATTTAGAAAAGGGCTTTCAGCTTTTTAAAACAAAAGTTGGGCCTGTATCAAAGATAATTTTAAATAATATTATCTCTCAGAAAAAGTATCAGGTCAATACAGAAGTGTGGGGCTAAGCTGGAGAGATGGCTCAGTGGTTAAGAGCTCTTGCTGCTCTTGCATAGCACCTGATTTCCATTCCCAAAATCCAAACGATGGCATGAGACTATCCAGTCTCCAGTTCCAGGGGATCCAACGTTCTCTGATCTCTGCAAGAACCAGTCATGCATGTGGTGTACATACATACAAGCAAGCAAAACATAATTACACATAAAATAAATCTCAAAAAAAGCTTTTAACTAAAAAACTATTATTAAAAAAAGAAGTAGTTTTGAAGCTGGAGAAATGGCTCAGTGGTTAAGAACACTGGCTGTTCCTCCAGAGGTCCTGAGTTCAATTCCCAGCAACCACATGGTGGCTCACAACCTTCTGTACTGGGATCCAACATCCTCTTCTGTTGTGTCTGAAGAGAGCAATGGTGTACTCACATACATAAAATAAATAATTCTTAAAAAAAATAAGTAGCCTCGTGTATGTGTATTAGTGTGCAAAGATCACAGGCTCACCTGTGATCCTAGCTCTGGAGGCTGACGCAGAAAGGTTAAGAATTTGAGGCCAGCTTTGGAAGTTTAGTGAGAATCGGTCTCAAAATAAAAAAAAAGAGGCTAGAGAAATGACTCGTGGTTAAGAGCACTTGCAGTTCTTGCAGAGAACCCAATCCACCAGCTCACAACTCTCACCCAGTTCCAGGGGATCTGACAACATTTTCTGGACTTCTCAGGCACCAGGCACACACATGCTGTATACATATTAACATACACAGGCACATACTCAAATACATAAACATAAGTGAATCATTTAAAATTAAACAATTTAAAAGAGAGTAGGGGTGTAGCTCCCTGTTAGAGCATTTACAGGGGGCCTGGGTTTAATCCCCACAGTCTAAAAAGCAAAAGTAAAAATAAAATAAAATAAAATAAAATAAAATAAAATAAATCCTGAAGACATGAAAACTGAAGAAGCAAACATGTGTCTCTGAATAGCTGACTCGATTTTCTAAGCCTTCTATCAAAAGTTGTATTTGTAGAAGAAATGTTTTTATATCTGAGAAATACTGCAGGGGCTGGAGAGACAGGTCAGTGGTGGAGAGCATTTAGGTTCTTCCAGAGGACTGGTCTGTGCCAGCACCTGTGTCAGGCAGTTCCTAACTCCCTGTAACTCTAGCTGCAGAGGGACTCCCTTTCCTCTAGCCTTGGTCACTGTATTCAGAGGCACATACCCACAGCCAGAATAAAAACAAAAATTCAAAATTTTTTTAGAAAGAAGATCAATTGGTCCCAGGATAAGACAGTGCTCTGTGGGTAGGTTTGAGAAGTCACTGCAGCATATGAAGAACTGGCATCTGGCTGCACTACTCCTGCAGTGGCACAGACAACACGTGCAGAGAGTACTGGGATCTGAGTACCGCTGGTGCCTTCTCACATCACTACCGAGACATGGGTGTCTGGCGCCATGTCTGTGCTCGCTCCATCCAGTTACAGTGGGAGAGACTGCAGCGGGCGAGTGCCGCTGGCCATGTGTCAAGCAGTTCCACGACTCCACAATCAAGTTTCCGCTGCCCCAGTGTGTGCTGTGGCACCAGCACAAGCCACGCCTCACTACCAAGATGCCCAAAACCTCTCATTATACCCAGAGACCCATTGAGTAAAACTCCAGAGTCAAAAACAAAGTCTTTAAAGTAGGTGCTGTAAAGAAGGCAAAACAGTTAAGAGCACATTGCTCTCACAGAGGCCCAGCATCTGTTTTCAGCACCCATGCAAAGGCTCACAACCAAGTCTACTCCAAGGATACAATACGCTTCCTGCACCGCAGGCACCAGGCACACAGATGGGTATGCATACACTCCTGGAGGCAAAACACTCACACTTATAGTCTTTAAGTAAAACTATGCAAGGATAAAACTATATTCTTTTGAAAACTTTAAAAATATTGTTGGTGTTATAAGTAAGCATGGGAATGCTGGCAGGTGGCACATGCTTTAACCTCACACTCAGGAAGCAGAGGCAGGCAGATCTCTGAGTTCCAGGCCAGCTTGGTCTACATAACAAATTCCAGGCCAGTCAACACTACATAATGAGACCCTGTCACGAACAAGAGAGGAAGGGGAGAGGGGAGGGAGGAGGGAAAAGAAGCATGCATGAGGCTTGAGGCTGAGAAAGAGAAGATGGCTCAGCAGATAAGCACACTTGATGTACAGGCATGAGGACGTGAGTCATATCCTCAGCACCAGGGTGAGAATCCAGCCATGAGCTCATGTGCCTGTAAGGCAGGCTGTAAAATGGAGGCGGACAACTGCTGGGTTTTCTGACT